GGATTTTTTCCGTTGACAATCCGTTGAAATATTTGCAACGGGCTCTTCCGTTGATAATATTCGTTGATATAAGGCTGTTTTTTTGTAGTGACCCTAGCATCGATGTCACCTTTCGATAATAAGCCTGTCATCTCACTCCGGTATTGATGTTACCTCTCAATACCGAAGTTCACCAGAAATCGGCTCCAACCAACGCCATCGACTATAACAGATAAACCAGTCACTGAAAATCACCCTCACCGATCATCCGCCGCGAAAATACTTGTCGGATTCGTGTCTGAACCCAGCAGAGTAAGTCCGTACCACCTTTTCGGGAGATCCCAATCTACCTGACTCTCAGGTATGTGTAATGCCTCATCTTCGGGAGGATCGCTCCATCCCGAAATCCGCTCCGTCGCTAGCGGAAACGTTGACACAGTTACAAAGAACCGTATTTTCTCGTCACACAATAGTACTGACTGCAATCGGGCTATATACGCAAGCCATCGGGGTATCCATAATTGTCCTATCGTTCTAGTTGGTGCGATTATACCATCGCCACAATCACAATCATATCTCATATGGGTGACATCCATTCTGGATTGGATGTCCCATGGATGAGACGCAATCTCATACTCATCATACTTTCAAACCACATACATCGTTTTCATAATCACGCGCTGAACATTAATCTGAGCCTTCTGAATTAATGTTAATATTATGTCAGCTACCCCAGTCACAAGTATTTATATATTTTATTTATAACAATGCATTTCCATTTGTGTAGTCTTTTAATTCTCTTTATAATCATTTCTATACTTCTTTCAATTCATTATATTAAATTTACCTAATTGTACCTTCAATTTGACCCAATCTGGTCTCAATCCGCCCGAATAATAATTTGGTTCATTCCGGGGTTTTTAGACTTATATGTCATTCTATTTAGGGTACAGACTATGTGGGATCCGGTCTGACCCGTATTTTATTTTGGTTTGATTTGACGTTTAACTCGGAAACCGTTCGATCTGAATATTGGACTGGCTCGATCCACAGCGTTTTAGGGTTTTAAATTATTATTTCTTTCTTTTTCGCTTGGACCGGGTCGGTCTTATGTCTAGATCGACTTGTCTAGTTTTTCTCTCCCCTATCCAGCTTATTCTGCAAATTTTAGAATTTTAGCTTAAGTTTTATCTGGACCGATCGCTCCAACCCCTGAACTGGTCGGTTCAGACCTTTTCTTTCTTTTGGGTTAGTTCATCCTAGATCGGTCGGTCTAGACACTTGTCTGAACTGGTCAGTTTGGACATCGTCGTCAACCTCAGAATTTTGCGATTTCTTCTACAACCCTAGACCTATCCGACTACCCCTAGATCAGTCAGTCTAACGTTCGGATTTCATCAAAATCACTCAACACATGCACGATTTACTATGGATAACACACCAAAACTCATATAATTGCATGTAGAATACAAATCAAATATCAATTTCACACGAAAACACCCAAGAATCCAAACACCATGTGAACAACTTTCGAATTAAACTCGCATTCACCCACCTTGGATTATATCGGTTGATTTTTCGTGACTGTAGTTTTATTCGGGTGGATTAGAATTCTCTCACTAATTTTAATAAACATTATTTTTTATTTTTATTATATATATATATTTACTCTCTCTCCCTAATTATTATCTTTAATTATTATTTTAATAATATATTAATATATGTATCATGGGCACCATCCTTCCGCTTAGCCACTTATATATATATATATATATATATTATTAATTTGGGATTTCATGACCACAGCTCAATTGGGGCATACCCAACCAAAATGGCCAAGGCTGGGTGAACCCTTCGGGCCGAACCGAACAACACATGGAACCTAATCTCGTATCTCTCAAGCATTCAACTACGCCCCTCTCCTGGTCGCTTACAATGGTCCGTTCAAGGGAGAACCTCAAGCAAATTTTCCGTTACCTCTATGGAAAGAATTTAGCAATTCATCTCATGCACGCTTTCCTTTGTTGCGTGTTCTTCCTTAACGGCAATCTGACCAGTTTTTAACGAGTTGGATGCCATCGATCTACAACAAAATGGTGAAATTAAAACTCGAATAAAAAACCAGTTTCCCTTATGCTTCAACAATGGTTTCCAAGGTTTTTTTTTTACTTTTGACTAAAGAATAGAGGCTATGTCATGTAGGGCTGGGCGTTTCGGTTCGGTTCTTCGGAACCGGACCGAACCGAACCGAAAAAGCGGTACTTTTTCCGACCCGAAATCGTTCTTAATTCCCGAACGGTACCATTTTTAGAGAACCGAATTTTTCCGAAATTGAACCGAACCGAAACAAACTTTAAAAATCCCGAAAAACCGAATATTTTTAAAGAAAATCTATCTTTTTTTAATAAAACCCGGAACCGAACCGAACCGATACCGAAACCGAACCGAAACGAATACAATATAAAAACCGATTGGTACCTATTTTTGTAAAACCGAAAGAACCAAACCGATCAATTTCCGTCCCGAACCCGAACCCGAACCGTTTCCCGAAACGCCCACCTCTAATGTCATGTCCAGTAAACATCTGCCTCTCTTTGTGTTCCACTTTTACTCTTGTAATAAACTCAACACAAAACCTTAAAATAAGTTTATTGTCACCAAATCTTTCAATTGTGGAATAAAACTTTTTTCCCTAAAAAAAATAACATGTTTATTTGTTTGATTGTTGATATATTTTGATACATGGATTAAAAAAATTTGTAAAAAGTTTCATTAATATTATTTAAAGAATTCGAGAGAAAAAAATCCGAGTTAATTGTCAATTCAGGTCAGATCAGAAATAAGGGATCTCCTAATAGAACATTAAACAGTAAAATAAAGCTAATTAATCTTAAAGAAAATAACTCCAAGAAGGACACCGGGTCATGCGGTCAACGATTTCTTGCGAGTTGACCGTGCGTTTCTTGGTCTTCCATCACGGCCGCGGAAACGCGCGCGCGCGCACACACACACACACGACATATATATATATATATATGTCGTGTGTGTGTCACAATAGATTAATAAGTCAATATATTATTATAACACATTGCTTACACACGGACCATATAATATGTAATAATGGCTCGTTTTCTATAACCATTAATTGGAGAACCAACATTTGTAACGTTTGTCTAGTTGATGTAATATTAGGTTAAATAATAATATTATTGATTTACCATTACCAAAAAAAATATAATATTGTTGATTTGGAACATAAATCCATCGTAGTCTGATCGGGCAAAAGTTCGAAGCCGAGAGTCTCCGTCTTTTTTGCTTCGACGTATTTAAATTTAAACAAATCATCATTATTCTTAAAAGAAATAATATAAAAAAGTTGGCATTTTATTGGATTATGCATTACGCGTACGGAACAATATAAAGAATCCAGGAACAAGAAAATCATGTTTTTTAATTGTTTGAATAGCTAAAATCACAATGAAGAATCAAAATTGATTTTAAAGTATGTGTATATATATACCCATCAAATATTTTTCTTATTTGTTTTAATAACTCGATCGGTTCAATATTTGCCATGATAAACTTTATGAAAAGTAGGCAAACACGTCGACCGACGACTAAGATTCCTGTTACATTAATAGATTTATACGATTACAATTTATATGAAAAGGTCGACGACAAAAATATCGGCAAATTTTAAGAGAGAGAAAATATTGAAATTAATATAAATTAAATAGTCAACGTGGACGCGTGGCGTATTAATTGGGGAAAGACTTGCAATAAATCGCAAAGGGTCAACTCTTGCATTTGTTTCCCGGAAATATTTCAGCTGACATTTCTTCTTTCATCTTTTGTTTTTCTATAAATTTTTTGTTCACGTAGCAAAATCATACTTATAATTTATTGGAAATTTCAGCAATAAAAAATGAATTTTAATCAAATTAAATAATACTTTAAAAAAATGAAATGAGATATAACTTGAACACAAATTTATAATAAGAATAACCGAAATAATTGAAAAATCTATTTTAGGAAAATGAAAATTTTATCAATAGAAATTAAAGACAAACATAATTCAAATATAATGCAAATTACATATATAAAAATCTAAAATTAAATCCAAGAATCGTTCCAAAAAAATGAGAAAAAATAACTGGACAAAAATATAAATTTTCTATCTCTAATTAGAAACCAATAGATTATTATATAAGGCGTGTTGATATAAATTGTTTACAAAAATGATATAATTGAAAAACTACCGAATAAAATATGATACAATTTAAAATCGTCAAGAAATTGTACATGGAGAAATTGTACACAAGAATGATTATTATATCTACTAATCATCTCATTAATTATCGATAAGTTATTAATCAGAAATTATTTAGTACCCCTTTGTTCACGTTGGGAAAGTCCTTGAGCTTGGCGATTTTATGTAAAGAACCATAATTATTTTACGGAGTACTTTAAAAATTAAATAAATTAAAGTCTTACGAATTATTTTTTAATTTAATAATGCCCCTTACATTACATATTAATTGACGTGCACACGAACACGAATATTACGCAGAAAATCTGTGTGCCTGCAGACCAACAAGCTAAAATATACTTTGTATTATCTTCACAAATACATTGACACAAATAATAATTTCGGGATTGTTTTTTGGAAAAATCATATATAATATACGAACTTCTAAAAAATCTCAAATAAATATACAAATTTTAAAATTTTCCAAAAAAGATACACAAACTTTTTTTAACTTGTACATTAAAACCTGAACTTTTAAATATTTTTCAAAAACCACCATATAAAAGTTGGAAGAATTTATGTATTTATTGAAAATTTTAAAAAAATATATATATTTATTTAGGATTTTAACGTATTAGTATGATATTTAGCCTTTTTTTTTGTTTGACATCGCTAGTAATTGGTCTGAACGACGAAAAATGGCCACAGCATATCGAGTCAACACGCGTAATTGACTTATAAGTTGTTGCCCACTTCGACATTTTATCTCTCAAATCGCAAGGACTTGGAGCTCTCTGTTCGATCTTACCATAAAACCTTAGATTTGATTGATTAATTACTTAATCAACTAATCAAGACCACGAGGAATATTTATCATAATGGCGCCACCACCCACCGGGTCGCCGTCTCCGTCGAAGACGGCGGTGCTCGTACTCCTCTTGAGGCTTCTGACGGCGGCTTTCCTCGTTGTGTCGGTCATCGTTCTCGGCACCAACTCCGGCACCTTCGAAATCTCAGGACTCGCCGCCAAAGTCCGTTTCAAAGACGTTTATGCCTATAGGTAATTAAAAAAAAAAAAAACCCTTTTCCTATAACGGTAATTAAGATTAGTAAAAACAAGAACACGTCACAAATTTTGTGACTAAGCAGGATTGGATTCTTGTTGTTTATGAAATATGTGTGTGTATATATATATGTGCTCGCTCACGTACGTACATGTGTGTACCAAGTGTATATGTATATATATATACACACACACACTTATATATAGATTGTCCTATAAATATATTGTAGTTACATATATGTTTGCTTTGGATTCATGAAGGTACATGCTCTCGGCTGGTGTGATCGGACTGGTTTACTCAGTTATTCAGCTTTTCTTCTCCATCTCCCAATTCGCCACCGGAAAAATCAACCCCATCAATTTTCAGCTCGATTTTTACGGCGACAAGGTAATTAATATACCCAATAATTCTTGCAAATTATATATATATTTGTTTTTTTTTCATACAAATCATTAGTTGTGTTGTGTTGTGTTGTGTATTTCACATGGACAGATCATGTCGTATTTTCTGGCAACGGGTTCCGCAGCGGGATTCGGAGTGACGAAAGACCTGAAAGCCGCACTCTTGGCATTCGTCACATTCGATTCAACCGATCCCGTGGACAAATTCTTCGGCAAAGCGTACGCCTCGGCCAGTCTTCTGCTCCTCGCATTCGTCTGCCTAGCCGTTCTCTCCGTCTTCTCGTCTTTCGCTCTTATTGATATCATTATTACAAACCATGAAAGACTACCACTGATATAATACCTTCCTTATTCTGCTCTCCCTTAACGTGTATATATCTCATGTAATTACTTTGGATGAATAATGAGAAACATAAACATTATTAACTAATACCACTAGCTAGAACCGTTCTTTCTCCTTGTATCGGTTTATATAAATTTGTATGTCTAGTTAACTAGTTTCTCATATGTTAGTTAGTTCCAACGAACTGTGACAAATAACATATTGTTGTACCAATAAAAGTGTAGAATTCAAGATCTTTTAATCGTCATTAGTCAGATACTTTCATTGCAATTGAATGTTCTATGCTTGATATTTGCCTGAGTGATTCAATTTGTTGATGATGTTATATGTATACATATATATATATATATATATTGTCTAGTTTATCCTATTGTAATTATATGCCATACATTGCGATTCTGAAATTGATGTATAAAAATGACTATGTAACTATATATGTGGTGATTTGATCATCCTTTTAGATTGTCCTGCAATTACTCTGATCCGACAACATTGTGGAGCAGAATGTCATTAATAAATTATGGGAACAAAATGTACATATTTTAAAATATAAGGGAGTTTTGTGTAATTAACCCAGATGCAAGCAAAATGTTGCTAATTGATGGATAATTTTTTAAGTTATGTGGAAGCCTACTTTTGCTTTTTCGAGACCTTAATGCTATTAATTGATCGATTATTTTTCATATTTTTTTTATTTTCGAATTAATAAGTGGTCAACATTTCAAATCTGGATACTCGTTTGGAAGATAAATAAAAATAAAATCTTGTCTATTAACAAATACCTACTTTTGTATTCAATAAAATTCACATTTATTGGTGTGTATATATATATTATCACATTTTCTAGACCTATAATTTGATAATGAATGTATGTACCAAGTTATATATTTATTGCTCATGTCCCCATATTGCATTAAAGAGTGTTATTTAGGTAGGATGTAAGAACAAAAAGAATATGTATAATATATACATATATATCTTGGTATCGCAAAATAATCGAAAATTATAAAATTATCCAATATTTCTTATAAATTCTGATTCAGCCCCGCAATTAGTTAATTATTTTTCAGATATCAGAAAAGAAAATATCAGAGGGAGGGAGGTATGGGAAAAAAGGGGACCACCATCATCAGTTTGGATCGGTAGTTCTCCTACTCCCCCAACTATACGCCTTCAATGCCGTCTTTCTCATCTTCCTCCCTCTCTATATGTCCCTTCCTTTGATCTTTTCTCTCAGCCATTCTCATCGATTCTTCAAGCCTCTTCGATTTCGCCAACTGGGTCTTTCTCGTTTTCGCCCTTGCTGGAAGCCATGAAGGTCACCGTCGTTTCTCGCAGTGGCAGAGAAGTCATCAAGGGTGGTCTCGACCTCCCCGATTCCGTACGTTCTTCATCGTTCTTCTTCTTACTCTTCTCGGATCTGGGTCCTGTTTCGTTTGCTTTTCATTAGTTTCGATTGAGGGTTTTGAAGATTCTGCTCGGATTTAGATTCCTGAGTGAAACTTTGGAGGAGAGATGCCATTTTCCCAATCTGGTTCGATTCTATTTCTGGGTTTTGATTTGATTTTGTGTTTTGGTTGACAGCAGGGGACAGTTGCTGATCTGCAGGAGGCAATTCATAAGAGAAGTGAGTATTCAAACTTTTGATGTATTGGCTAATTTGCTTGTAGAAATGTCGAACTAGCTCCAATCTGCAGTAGAAGCTGGTGATTCTGAATCACGTGTAGGTGGATTTCTTTGTATTTTGTTCATCTCTCTGGTCTGATAACAATCTAAGGATTCAAAGTATTTCTACATTTGTGGATTTATACGCATTTGAGAAGGAATGGTGGTAATGTGCATAACTTTCATTTGGAACTTCAATCCATATAGGTTCTTGCTTAGATCTGTGCAGTGTGAGAATTGTCCAAAGGCTCCAACTGGTTTCTTGGTTCTTCGTGTTTATATATTAAAAGAGGAGAATGAATGCCGAATCGGGTTCACCAGTTTGTTCCTGATAAGACTTGGATTGTTCTCTTTTTCCAAATTATAAACATATTTATATGGTTCTTAACTTCAAATTCCGTAGGACTTGCATGTCTGGAGAAGAAGATTTCGATGCTATCTGCAATCTGTTTACTACATTTGTCTATGGGTTATGTGTTTTTGCCTTAGGCTTTATCTGATCTCTTTCCTGAATGAGATGCTTCAACTCTTAATTTGTTTGAATCTTCTAGACAATGTTCATATTAAGCCGAAAACTTGAAAGTTCCACCTCCACTCCCAAACATCTTAAATAGGTTGAATACTGGCAAACTTTATCTCCATTTAATGGTGCCTTCGTTATCCTGCTGCTGTGTGGATCAGCTACTGGGCATGCCTTTCTCAATTGGTATGCTTTGTTTTTTCGTTGTTTCAACAGCTAAGAAGTTTTACCCGTCTAGGCAAAGGCTGACTCTTCCCGTGGCTCCTGGATCCAAGGAGAAGCCTGTCGTCCTCAACAGCAGGAAGCCCCTCAAAGATTATTTTGGTGGGAACACGGATAGTTTAACTGTAGTCTTCAAAGACTTGGGCCCTCAAGTTTCCTACCGCACTCTCTTTTTCTTCGAGTATCTTGGTCCCTTGTTTATCTACCCGATCTTTTATTACTTCCCGGTTTACAAGTACTTTGGCTATGGAGAGGAGCGTGTGATCAATCCAGTTCAGACGTATGCCATGTACTACTGGTGCTTCCACTACTTCAAACGGATCCTAGAAACGTTTTTCATTCATCGTTTCAGCCATGCCACCTCGCCACTCTCGAATGTATTCCGGAACTGTGCCTATTACTGGACATTCGGTGCTTACATTGCCTATTATGTCAATCACCCTCTCTACACCCCGGTTAGCGACCTCCAGTGGAAAATTGGTTTTGGGTTTGGTCTGGTTTGCCAAGTTGCAAACTTTTACTGCCATATCATTCTGAAGAACCTTAGGAGCCCTGATGGGAGCGGAGGCTACCAGATTCCCCGTGGTTTCCTGTTCAACGTTGTTACATGTGCCAACTACACTACCGAAATCTATCAGTGGCTGGGGTTCAATATCGCCACTCAAACTGTTGCAGGATATGTCTTCCTTGTGGTTGCCGCTCTCATCATGACCAACTGGGCCTTAGGGAAGCACCGCCGTCTGAGAAAGGTGAAACCTTTTCCTTCAATCTCTTGTTATCTATAGAACTATCAACTATGCATACACTTAGGCTTTTCTCTTGCCAAGTTTACTTAGCTTAGTGTGTTCCATGCTACCACTGGTTAGATTTTAGCTGTGTTTCGGTGTTTAGTGTAACTAGTGTTTAGTTTCAGCTGCTGTATTCTGTTTTCTTGTGAAAATCCCACATCATCAGCACTTAAGAGCTTGCCTAGAGAGCTAGTCTGACCAACTGCAAAGGTTGGTCCTTTATAGGATATATATCAAGTTCTCTTAGAGCAGAGTTTAACCCATAAGCTTTCTGCACGAAAAGAGCCACACGACAGTGTCGAGATTATGATTCTCTGTCACTTGAATCTCTCGTTCTCACCCGAGATTCCGTGTTCATATGCAGCTCTTCGATGGAAAAGATCCACACGACAAAGTCGAAATTATGATTCTTTATCACTCGAATCTCTGGTTCTCACCCGAGCTTTCGTGTTCATATGCAGATTTTCGATGGAAAAGATGGAAGACCGAAGTACCCAAGGCGATGGGTGATACTGCCACCATTCATCTAGAAGAAGATGTCATTGTTATGAGCAGCCCTCTCTCTCTCTCTCTTGTCGGTTAAGTAGACCATAAATTTGTCAAAGAGGATAGCATCGTTGAGGATGTTTCGTTTGTGTTATTCACGTTGTCTTGTTCCTTGTTTTACTTTCCCTGTTTCGTTCCCCTGTTTTTTAGAGGTACACGGCAGAGATTCTTGTTAAAAGACTTGCCATGATAAGATTCTCTTGCATTTTCTTATTTTCACAATGATAATTTGTCAAATGCTATTTTATTATATCGTGAACATGCATTCTATTCACATAAAATATTATTTGTTAACTTCGATTAATTTACATAAAAAAATATATATAACAAAAAGAGGTGATTCCAAGTTGGAGAGCAGGTAGCATTTGGACCAGACAAACTTAAGCATACATGGGATTTTTTTAAAAAAATTATATATAATTGGAGGAAATGGTTGCATTTTCGTGTTATCCATTAAAATCATGGTCCAATTAACCAAAAAGGTGGCAATGATTAATGAATTTAATTTTATTATATTATTAATTTTCATAATAATAGCCAATTATTGTGGGGGCTTGAAGGAAAGTTTATAAAACGGGGGAATGTGGTTGTCGATTTAGCATCGTTTTAAAACACTTAAAATTATTTATATAACTATTTGGACGTCGAGCTCATAAAATATTTTAGGTTCAATTCAATTATGTTCTATTTCAATTTGAATTAGATTTTTATTAAAAACTCATTTTTCAAAGGAAAAAAAAATCGAATTTTCACTTAGTTTTTTCTTGGTTTCTATTTTTTAAAATTTATTTAAAAAATTATAACCATTTAATTTTTATATCAAATTTGATTTGGTTACAGTTATATGTTATTCACTTCAATTCGAATCGAGTCAATTATTTGTTATATATTGCAAAACATCACCAATAAATTTACACCTCATATCCTCCATGGCAATAGAAATAATAATTTTTCAGAATGGCTTCGTTAGTACGAATCCAATTAATTAAATGGTAATAAAAAAAGCACATTATTTGTTCAAATATAATGTATTAGGGTTTATACCCAACACAGAGATTTCCACGTCTTTAGATAAGAGACGTCACGAAAACAAGGAAAGATAATGCAAATTAAATCAATAAAATATTTTATACACAAAATGAGATGTTCGGCACTATCTTCGGATAATCACAATATATATATATATATATATATATATATATATATATATATGTATATATATATGGGGTTATGTGTATATATGTAATAAAGAAAGGCACCGCCAAATCCACAAGCAAACCCCGAAAGACCACAACGCATGTGTTAATGAGATGTGCGCCACTCTCTCTCTCTCTTCCCATTTTGTTTTCTTTTTATGTTGATTTTGTGTTACACTCTTTTATAAGTACCAAGAAATTACATTTTCCTTTTTAGCCTCTTTGGTTTCATACCCCCAAACGGAACTTCTTTCTTACAGCAACTCCCCACTCATCCTACCACCTTTTGTGTGTGTGTATATATACATATATATATATGCTCGGATCATTCATATGATCATCATGTATATATCATAGTTAATGCTCTAGAAATCGGTGGAAACACAGCCAATATACATAATCCGATTTTTTATTTTTACATAATCTTATAAAAATAAGATTTCGGATCATCTTGATAGGGTGGACAAAATTATCCGAATTTCGGATATCTATCCTGATCTGAGGATTGGGTATCCAAAAATCGGATATTTAGCTTGCAATGGGATAGATATCGGATTTTAACATGTCCAAAAGTCAAAACTTAGATTCGGATTTGAGTTTGTATTTTTTGATCGGATAATTATCCGCGAGTACTCGAATAATAAAAATAATTATTAGATATTTAAATTATTAAAAAATTATAAAAATATCTATCAATTATCTAATTGATTTTGTATTTGTATAAAAGCTATCATTTTATGATGTAGTTATTTGAAATATAAATAATTTTCAATGATTTTATAAATTATTCATATGTAATTTATGAATTTACAAATTTTTATTAAACTATAATTAAAATTCATTGGGTTGGGATATTCGTGAATACCCAAAAATTATCTCACGCGTTATATAATTCGAGTACCCAAAAATTTGGGTTCAAATTTGAGTTTTAAAATATATAACCCGTCAGAATCGGATTATGAGAGTATCCTAAAAATTCTAGATATGCGATCCGTATCCACCTCTACATCTTACCTCGAATTAAAATATCTACTTTTCAATTTATTTAGACATTTTTTTTCCAGATCAAATTTAGCGTTTACTCGGATAAAACTCTATCGGACAGTTATAAATATTAGGTTTAAGAAGAAAAAAAGTAGATGAAAACTTTAGGTATATCTATTGTATAACAACTACAAAGAAGGGACGAGATTCTCTAACAAACGAGTAAAGGGATCGAATGGCTTCGAAAGAATTGAACGAACTTAGATTGAATCTCAATACATTAATTAATCGCCATTTAGTGACACAGATCAAGCCGTTTTGCAAAAAAAAGGTTTCGGTTTCTGTCTGTTTCATTCATCAGTCGAAGCACAAATATATAAGCTCTTGACCTAATTACAACAAAGGAAAATGCAGATTACAATATGCAAGATTGCCATATTAGAGGATATACCATATATAGCCTCATTACCCCCTCAAGTTGGAGCATATATATCATATAAGCCCAACTTGGTCAAGAACAAGTCAAATTTTTTCTTCCCAAGAGCTTTCGTGAATATGTCCACGAGTTGATTTTGGTTGATACGTGTTGAGGAGCTATAGAGTCGGCTGTGACGTGATGTCGGAGGAAGTGACAGTCGATCTCAATGTGCTTGGTGCGATCATGAAAGACGTCATTTTCGGAAATATGAATGGCGGCTTTACTGTCACAATACAAGGCATTGTGTCGGTGTGATCAATACCAAGAGAAAGAAGGAGGCCTTTGAGCCATAACAATTCACATGTTGCTGAAGACATGGCCCTGTATTCGAGCTCAGCCAACAAGACAAACACAGTGTGTTGTTTCTTTGAGCGCCATGAAACAGGTGAATTTTCAAGATGGGCCAGCCAGCCAGCCGGAGATTTGCGGGAACGAGGGCAGCTTGCCCAATCCGAATCGCACCATGCTGACAGACGAAGGTTTGAGTCGGATCGCAGAAGAATTCCTTGGTCCGGGTTTTGTTTGAGATATCGAACAACTCTGACAGTTGTGTCCCAATGCTCTTGCCGCGGCTGTTGCATAAATTGTGAGAGAACATGAACCGCATAAGTGATATCCGGCGTGTGTCTAACAGATACAGGAGTCGCCCAAATAACCGTCGATAACGCTCGGGGTCTGCAAGAACGTTGCTGGTGGAGAGGGCGAGGCGATGGTTTTGGTCGAGAGGGAATGACGCAGGCTTAGCTCCGATTAACCATGTTTCTGTTAAAATGTCCAGAACATACTTTCTTTGGCACAATGAGATGCCGAGAGGACTTCTAGCAATTTCAATTCCTAGAAAGTATTTCAGTAACCCCAGATCCTTCATGCTGAAACAGGAGCTTAAATATTTCTTGAAATCATTCAAAGCCGATGTCGAGTTCCCACTCACAAGTAGATTGTCAACATAAATTAAAACATGCAAGTGAGTTTGGTCTTTCTGCAAAACAAACAAGGAGTGGTCTGAATGGGACTGTTCGAAGCCGTAGTGGCGTAAAGCGGAACCACTTTCGCAAACCAACACCGAGGGACTTGTTTTAGTCCGCACAACGACTTTCGTAGATGACAAATTTGAGACGGGTTCGACGGCAAAAAACCCGGTGGAAGTTTCATATAAACTTCATCATGTAAATCACCATGAAGAAAGGCATTATGGACATCCATTTGATAGACGGTCCAGTTACGGGCAGCGGCCACGGCTAGAAACGTCCGAACCGTAACCATCTTACCTACCGGCGCAAACGTGTTCTCATAGTCAATTCCTTCGGTTTGTTTGTTTCCAAGAATAATCAACCGAGCTTTATAGCGTTCTATAGAACCATCAGATCGATACTTTATCCGGTAAATCCACTTACAGCCGATTGCCTTTTTTATTGGAGGGAGAGTTTCCAAAGTCCAGGTTTTGTTCGATTCCAGCGCTTGAATTTCAGCTTTCATGGCCTCTCGCCACCGTTCATTTTGTACTGCTTCGTTATAATGTCGAGGCTCGCGATGTGCAGTAATCGAGGCGACACAGTTGTGATGATTGGGTAAAAGATGAGTGTATGACAGGTACTTGTCAATCGGGAAAGAAATACCAGGCTGATCAAGAGTATCAGTCGGCGTTGTGTGAACCGCATTAGTGACAAAGTCGTGGAGGAGAATGTTCTGTGTTTTCTGACGGTGACCTTTTCCGAGAGTCGGTTAAGCAGGAGGCGTTACTGAAGTTGTCGAAGAAGCAGACACAGAGGCAGGGGACGGGGACCGAGGACAGGTTTCGACAGGGGAACCCCCCTGGCCGGAGACTACGACGGTGTGGAAGAAGTCTGGACAGTAGCTGGCATGGAATCATCGGGCTCAGAGGTGCCAACAGGTGGCGAACAATTCGACAAGCCATAAACATGACAACCATTATCAAAATCATCATCAACAAACCACAGAGAAGAATTCTGAGAGACCGGCGAGGGAGATAAAGGCTGGGCATTGTCGGTGGAATGAAACTTATCTTCCAGAAAAATCACGTCGCGAGATACCTGAAACGACTTGGAATTCAGGTTGTAGACGCGCCAGCCTTTCTGACCCGAGGGATATCCAACAAACATGCAACGAGAGCTACGAGATGCGAATTTATCTCCTCCACGGTTTTGGTTGTGAACATAGCATAAGCTACCAAAAACGCGTAGATGTTCATAATTCGGTGGACGTCCATGAAGAAGTTCATATGGTGTTCTCCCGACAAGAACAAAAGTCGAATTCCGATTGATCAAGTACGCGGCGGTGATGACACTTTCTCCCCAAAATTCCACAGGAAGGTTTGCTTGAAATAAGAGCGCACGAGCCACGTTGAGTATGTGACGATGTTTATATTCAACACGTCCATTTTGTTGCGGTGTGCCAACACAAGATTTTCATGCAAGATTCCTTTTTTCGGAGAAGTACTCGCGTAGACTCAAAAATTCTGAGCCGTTATCCGAGCGGACGGTTTTGACCAACTTTCCGAATTGTTGTTCGACCATGGTCATAAAATTTCGTAGTTTCCATTGTGCCTCATTTTTACTTGCTAACAAATACAAC